CCATACAATTTTCCACATAGTCAACCCAGCATGATTTGCATTGAAGATGTAAGTGGGTGTATTAGGTTTCTCTAGAGGAACAGAATTAACAGGATGGATGGATGGATAGATAGATAAAGGGGAGTTTATTAAGTATTAACTTAAGGGATCGCAAGGTCCCACAATGGGCTGTCTGCAAGCTGAGGAGCAAAGAGAGCCAGGCCAAGTCCCAGAACCAAAGAACTCGGAGTCCAGTGTTCAAGGGCAGGAAGCATCCAGCACAGAAGATGCAGGCTGGGAGGCTAGACCCGTCTGTTCTTTTCACGTTTTTCTGCCTGCTTTATATTCACTGGCAGCTGATGAGATGGTGCCCCCCAGATTGAGGGTGGGTCTGCCTTCCCAGCCACTGACTCAAATGTTAATCTCCTTTAGCCACGCCCTCACAGACACACCCAGGATCAATAGTTTGCAGCCTTCAATCCAATCAAGTTGTTATTCAGTATTGACTATCACAAGTGCACCCCTTTTCAACCCATACACCTCTCCTGAGATCATACATAATCTTCAGATAAAGACGGTAATAAGGTCATAATTAAGCCTAACGTAATGCAGCTATCCTTCGTACAACCGGAAACATACCAATCCCCAACCCAAATACAATTAAATAGAGTGAACAGTACTTAAATGCTGATATGAAGTCAATAAATCTTATGTCACAAAATAGAGGTAAAGGAAAAAAGATATTTTCTTTTTTTTTTTTTTTTTGAGACGGAGTCTCGCTCTATTGCCCAGGCTGGAGTGCAGTGGCACATCTTGGCTCGCTATAACCTCCCACTCCCAGGTTGAAGTGATTCTCATGGCTCAGCCTCCCGAATAGCTGGGATTACAGGTGCGCGCCACTGTGCCCGGCTAATTTTTATATTTTTAGTAGAGATGGGGCCATGTTGGCCAGGCTGGTCTTGAACTCCTGATTACAGGCGTGAGCCACCCTGCCCGGCAGTAGCTGGTATTGATGACTACCTTCTTCTGCTACCCATTCTGTATTCTCTTTGCCTTCAGCAAGCACCTCAGCAGTCATGTTTTTTTTCCCCTGGTGGAGTGACCCAGACCTTCATTCCTGAGGGGCCTGAGCCATTTGTAGTCCTGCCCAGATTGGGCTGTTGTATTTCCCACTGACCTTAATCACAGGACATGGCAATACTAAGAGATGCCCTAATGGACCTCCTGTATTCCATGCATACTCTTCCTTACCTCTGTTGTGGAGTATTTGACTGATTTCATCTTGATAGTCTGGATCAGTCACCCCAGCCAACACTGGAACTCCCTTCTTAGCTGTTAACTTAAAGGTAGGAGGATCCCAAAGTGCCCAGGTGGCAATCTTAACTTCCAGTTTAACGGAATCCTGGTGGCAGCATTCCTCCCTCTGGAACTAAGACCTCTAGGCCAGCAAGACTTAATGTTTTTGGAAGAGGAAGCCAAAATTTTGCTGGTGGATCACCGGAGGTGATGGTGAGTGATGCCACTTCCACTTCCATCCCTCGATTCCTGGACCCATGAATCTTGGCTATGGGAGAGACAGCACCATATATTGGATGCTGATTCAGAGCATACATGGCCTTCTGGAGAACTTTGCCCCAGGCTTGCAAAGTACTGTCACCTAGTTGGCATTGTAATTGTGACTTCAAAAGGCCATTCCACCGTTCTATCAATTCGGCTGCTTCAGGAAACGGGGGAACATGGTATGACCAGTGAGGGGGAACATGGTATGACCAGTGAATTCCATGAGCATGAGCCCACTGCCCCACTTCTTTAGTGGTGCACTGAGTGCCTTGGTTGGAGGCAATGCTGTGTGGAATACCATGATGGTGGGTAAGGCATTCTGTGAGTCCACGGATGGTAGTCTTGGCAGAAGCATTCCATGCATGATAGGCAAACCCGTATCCAGAGTGAGTGTCTATTCCAGTGAGGACAAACCTCTGCCCTTTCCATGATGGAAGAAGTCAAATAAAATCAACCTGCCACCAGGCAGCTGTCTGATCACCCTAAGGAATGGTGCCCTATTGAGGGCTCAGTGTTGGTCTCTGCTGCTGGCAAATTGGGCACTCCGCAGCAGCTGTAGCCAGATCAGCCTTGGTGAGTGGAAGTCCATGTTGCTGAGCCCATGCATAACCTCCATCCCTGCCACCATGGCCACTTTTTTCATGGGCTCATTGGGCAATGACGAGGGTGCTGGGGAAAGAGGCTGAGTGGTGTCCATAGAACAGGTCATCCTAATCACTTGATTATTAAACTCCTCCTCTGCTGAGGTCACCTGTTGGCAAGCACTCACATAGGATACAAATGGTTTCAGTTTTTGACCACTCAGAGAAGTCCATTTACATACCTCTTCCCCAAGTTTCTTTGTCACCAATTTTCCAATCATGCTTCTTTCAAGTCCGTGACCATCCAGCCAAACCATTGGCTGCAGCCCATGAATTAGCGCATAATCCCGCATCTGGCCGTTTCTCCTTCCATTCAAAGTTCACAACCAGGTGCGCTGCTCAACGTTCTGCCCACTGGGAAGACTGTCCTTCAGGGGTGTCCTAGAAAGGGGCCGTAGTGCTGCAGCTGTCCACTTTTGGGTGGTGCCTGCATGTCGTCTGTCTTCTGCACAGACCAAATGGGAGAGTGGAACGGGAATGTGGTGGGAATCACTAGTGCTGCGCCTTTCAAGTCCTTGATGGTGGCGCTAATCTCTGCAGTCCTTCCAGGGATGTGATATTGTTTTTGATTTACTATTTTTCTAGGTAGAGGCTGCTCTAAAGGCTTTCATTTGGCCTTTTCCAGAATAATAGCCCTCAGTCTACCAGTCGGGGAGCCAATGTGGAGGTTCTGTCAACTGCTAAGTATGCCTATGCCAATTATTGCATTCTAGCACTGAGGAAATGACCACAGGATGAGTCTGGGGACCCACTGGACCTGCTCTAAGTCAGACCTGAGCTAAAATTCCATTAATTACCTGACCTCCATAAGCCCCTACTTTAACTGGGGAATCACATGACATTTTGGGTCCCCTGGAATCAACATCAGCTCAGAGCCAGTGTGCACTGAGCTGCAGAGTTGCCCTGGTAAAAGTCCAGAGGTCTCCTTGGGGAAGGATGGGAGAAAGATTCACTGCATAAATTGTCAGTAATGTAGTGGAATCCCTCCTCACGGGGACCCGGCCTTCCCTTCATCCAAGGGGTTTTGGGTCTGTAAATTGGCTCAAGTCTGGAAATTGAAGGGCTCTGATTCTCTATTTTATAATTCAAATTAGTCTTTTGTCTACTCAGCCTAGAAGTTTTCTGCTTGTATAAATTAAGTAGGAATGCAGGAGGCTTCCTATCGATTTCGCTTCTAGGAACACCGTGATTAATTAGCCGGTGCCGGAGCTCCACACGAGTCAGACTATTCTGATTGCCGCTTTGCCTTGGCTGTCCGTTGCAGTAACTACACCCACCTGCCTTCCACAGTTGAGTCCCGCCACTTGGCCCCTGCCACTTCAAGATCCAGTTATCCACATTGTATTCAAATGTTTTAGTTGAGTGACTGTGATTCCCACTCTTAGATCTGACATACAGAGAAGAGCAATTATTGGGCTCTTCAGAGATGCAGGACCTGTCCTCACAAATCTACTTGGCAAGGTGTAGGGTAAGTGTATGTCTTCTGGACCCTCTGAGCTGGGATGAGTAGGTCTAAAATGACTAATCCACTCCACCATCTCAATCTCCCTAAGCCTTTGGATCCCTTCCTCTACATTAAACCAAGGGCATTTCACCTCGCTCACAGTGGGCCATCTTTGAATCCATATTTTAGCTAACCAAGCAAATAAACTATTAGAAACTTTTGGCTGAGTCAGGCAGGTGATAACTTGAGGTCGGGAATTGAGACTGGCTTGACCAACATGGAGAAACCTGATCTCTACTAAAAATACAAAATTAAGCCGGGCGCGGTGGCTCATGCCTGTAATCCCAGCACTTTGGGAGGCTGAGGTGGGTGGATCATGAGGTCAAGAGATCGAGACCATCCTTGTCAACATGGTGAAACCCCGTCTCTACTAAAAATACAAAAAATTAGCTGGGCATGGTGGTGCGTGCCTGTAATCCCAGTTACTCAGGAAGTTGAAGCAGGAGGATTGCCTGAACCCAGAAGGTGGAGGTTTCGGTGAGCCGAGATCGCACCATTGCACTCCAGCCTGGGTAACAAGAGCGAAACTCCGTCTCAAAAAAAAAAAAAAAAATACAAAATTAGCCAGGTGTGGTGGCACATGCCTATAATCCCAGCTACTCGGAGGATGAGGCAGGAGAATCACTTGAACCCTGGAGGCAGAGATTGCGGTGAGCTGTGATCGTGGCATTGCACTCCAGCCTGGGTGACAGAGTGAGGATCTGTCTCAAAAGGAAAAAAAAAGAAAGAAAGAAAGAAACTCTTTTAACTCCCTGAGCTGCGACATCAAATGCAGGGTCCCTGCTCAGTGGGCCCAAATCAACACATTCAGCCCGATCCAACTCTGTGTTCCCTCCACCATTATCACATACTTGTAGTAGCCATTCCCACGCCTGTTCTTCAGATTTCTGTTTATATAAATTAGAGAACTCAAACAGTTCTTTTCAAGTGTAGCATACTTCCTCATGGGTCACACGCTCAACCTCACCTCTAGGGGCCTGCTAGGACTGTAGTCTAGTTACAGGTCTAGAAGCAAGCAGGGGTGTTCAGGTTGGCTCCCGAGGAGAATCAACATCATCTTGCCTGGCAGCTGCCTCTGGGGGGCCATCACTGTCGCCTCAGGTAAAGCAGGGTTTATCTCCTCAGACAAAAGTGGAGAGGCTGATGGCAGCATGGGTCAGGGAGGGGATGTCGCCGCTACTGGGGATGGGAAGCAGTTGCTCCTGGCAAAAAAAGCTTCATCAGAGTTTACAAGCTCAGTGTCCCCAGCTTCATCAGGGTCCTCCCACACATTTTCACTCCATGTTGCAGGGTCCCATTCTTTTTTTTGCGGGGAGGGTCACAAGCCACAAAAGTTTATTGCAGAAATCTGGCCAAGGTTCCAACTGCAGGGCCCTGGCACGGGGCTGGGCAGGTGGGATAGGGAGGGGTAGAGAGAGTGATCTGGCCCAGGGCCTCAGAGCTGCGAGATGATGTTGGGTGCTAGGCTGCAGGTGAGGCCTGTGCCATCCGGTTCCACATTCAGGGCCTTCCTGTACCACCATGGAGAACCTGCCAGAAAGACAGGCCCAGACAGCTGCATCAGCCTGGGCTTGGAGGCAGAGCATGGAGACAGGCAGTGAAGAGCCAGGGGCCCAAGAGAACCCCACAGAGGACTCCTCCCCACAAAGGACTCTCCCCCATAGAGGACTCCCCCCAACAGAGGACTCCCCCCAACAGAGGACTCTCCCCCCCACCAGAGGACTCCTCACAGTAGAGGATTCTCCCCCCAAAGAGAATTCTCCTCCACAGAGGACTCTCCCCCCACCAGAGGACTCCCCCCAATAGAGGACTCTCCCCCCACAGAGAACTCTCCCCCCACAAAGGACTCTCCCACTTTCACCTCTTGAGACGTCGATTCCCAAAGATGGACACCAACGAATCATCTAGTAATAAGTCTGTCTCCTAAGAGGAGACAAAGAAAAGTGTCAGAAACCCCTGAGGAGGCCAAGGGCCCCCACTGCTCCCCACACTGCTATATCCCTGTGGAGGCTGGGGGAACACAGAACACTCACCTTCCCAAAGGCCCCAGTGGGGTCAGCCAGGAGCCGAACCTGCAGAGAAAGGAAACGTCACAAGAAGAATCTCCTACCTGGCCCTGACTCCCTGCAGGCCCGCAGCTCACCTTGCCTTCCGCCTTGTGGGCTCGGCCCCACTCGCCAGTCACAAAGGCATCATTCACACTCAGGCATGCCACCACCTGGACTCCCTCGGCCTTCAGAGCCTCGGCCTGCTCCACAAACCCTGGCAGGTGGGTCTTGGAACAGCCAGGGGTGAAGGCCCCGGGAACTCCAAACAGCACACCCTTCTTGCCCTTAAACAACTCTGCCAGGTTCACCTTGTTTCCTGGCTCCCCTTCAAACCCTTCCTCTGCTGGGATGGTGTCTCCCACCTTGATCGGGGCCATGGCTGCAGCGACTCTGCTGAAACTGCAGACCCTGCCAGACGCCCACCCTCCTTCACCTCACCATCTCCATTAACAGTAGACACCTGGGCAGGTTGTGCATGCACCTTTCATTGCCGGTCAGCCACTTGCACGATGAGAGCTTTTGTCTGTATTTCCACAATTTCAGCTCTTTCTCTACGGGAGATAAGGCTCTTGCTCAGGACAGTCTCAGCAGATTTGAGGCTCGGTATCTGCTTCTGAAGCTGGAGGCAGAATCCCCGAGCTCATGTTCTTTCATCCCTTTGTCCACTGAACTTAGGAGCAACCAGCCAGTGCCGTTATCTTCCTTGGCTCTCCACATATGGGTAAAGGTATTATGTGTAGAATCAGTAAACTCCTTGCCTCTCAGGAGCAGTAAATCAGGAGTGGCAAATTCTGCATAACTGTCTAAACAGTTCGTGCCAAGGACCGTCAGTGTGCTCCATGCTGTTAGAAGTAAAGACTCTAGCATTTTCGGATCTAATTATAATAAACAGCCAACTCCAGAAACCCCAAAACCAACAAAAGAACTTCACCCTTAGTATTCTTTTCCTCTAGAACCACTCCTGGTACCAAAGTCTGTATTAGCTGTCAGGGTTCTCTAGAGGGACAGAAGAGGAGATTATATTATTAAGTATTAACTTACGTGGTCACAACGTCCCTCAATAGGCTGTCTGCAAGCTGAGGAGAAAGGAGAGTCAATCCAAGCCCCAGAGCTGAAGAACTTGGAGTCCGATGTTCAAAGGCAGGAAGCATCCAGCACAGAAGATGGGAGGCTGGGAGGCTAGGCCCGACTGTCCTTTTCACGTTTTTCTGCCTGCTTTATATTCGCTGGCAGCTGATGAGATTGCGCCCCCCAGATCAAGGGTGGATCTGCCTTCCCAGCCACTGACTCAAATGTTAATTCTTTTGCCAACAGCTTCACAGACACACCCAGGATCAATAGTTCGTATCCTTCAATCCAGTCAAGTTGACACTCATTATTAACCATCACAGTGGGTAGAGCACATTTGCATTTTGGAAAGATCACCCTGATGGCAGCATCCTGGGGATGCAGGAGGTTGGACCACAACAGGAGAGACGAATCAGCAGATGTTAAAATCAGCCATTCACTGATAACAGTTAATAAATGTTCATCCAGGGCCCACTAAATATTGCAATAAGCCCAGTTTTGGTTTCTGCTTCCTTGTCACAGTGGCATCCTACATTGCAAATCCATTGCCCACTGCCCAGTCTTTAGTGGTAAATTGGTGGTATTTGGCGTGGTTGGCCACACCTTCTTCCTTCAAACACCCTTTTCTCTGCTTCCCAGGACACCAGACCCTCCTGGTTTCCTTCCCACTTCCCTGGCTGCTCCTAGCTCCTTTGTAGGGTCCTCTCCCGGTTTCTGACCTCTAAACATTCACAAGACCCAGGTTCAGTCCTGGACTTCAGCTTTGTATTTACACTCACTCCCTTAATGATCCCCTTGAAGATCTCGGCTTTAAGTGCCATTCATATGTCATATGCTGAGGTTTCTCAAATTTGTGTCTTCAACCCAGATTTCTTCCCCCAACAAAACTCTCACTGCCCACTCATCACCTCCATTTGGATGTCTAAAGCGCATGTCCGAAATCAGGCTCCCGATCTGCCTTCACAACCGCTTCTCCCACCATCTTTCTTGTTCCTGTCAATGATCATTTCATCCTTCCAATTTCTCAAACCAAAACTTTTTTTTTATTATTGAATAGGGAGAGGGCCTCACTATGTTGCCAAATTGATCTCAAACTCCTGGCCTCAAGAGATCCTCCTCCCTTGGCCTCTGAAAGGGCTGGGATCACAGGCTTGAGCCCCCACACACAATCACAAACCAAAAATCTTAAAGTCATCCCTGACTTCTGTGCTCTTGCTACATTCAATCTGCCAACAAATGCTCTTCGCTTTGCCACTTTTTAATTTTTTTATTATTATTTTTTTAAGACGGAGCCTCACTCTGTCACGCAGGCTGGAGTGCAGTGGCATGATCTTGGCTCACCTAACTGGAACTACAGGCATGCACCACCATGCCCAGCTAATTTTTGCATTTTTAGTAGAGGCAAGGTTTCACTATGTTGGCCAGGCTGGTCTTGAACTCCTGACCTCAGGTGATCCACCCATCTTGGCCTCTCAAAGTGCTGGGATTACAGGCACGAACCACCATGCCCAGCCAGCTCTGCCACTTCTGTCTGCCTTTGCCATTGCCACTCTGGTGCAAGCTGCCACCATCTTTTCACAGAACTCTTGCAGTAGCCTCATATGTAGGAACAGGAGAGCTCCTTTAAAAATATAAATCAAGGCCAGGCATGGTCACTCATTCTTGTAATCCCAGCACTTTGGGAGGCCAAGGCAGGAGGAGTATTCGAGGCCAGGAGTTTGAGATCAGCCTGGGCAACATAGCAAAACCCCTGTCTCTACAAAAAAAAAAAAAAACTACACACCCACCCGCGCACACACAAACTCACACAAATCCAACCTACCCCCTCCCACCACCCCATTGTTACTGTTCTGCCTCATCCCCTCCTGCTGTCCTCCCGACACGCCCAGCCCAGCTCTCTGCATTCCAACCACATCGGCCTCCCGGTCGGTCGTTTTAGCAGAAAGCAGGCAGGTTCATCCCTGAGCGCTTTGCTGTCTCCTACCTGCAACATTTTCTCCCCATTTCTCCACTGGGCTTTACCCTCACTTTGCTCAAGTCTTCGCTCAAGTATCACCTTTCCTGGGAGGTCTTTTCTGACTTCCCAGTTAAACCTGCCCTCCCCTACCCACCCATCTCCTGCCCTCCTCGTCTCCCTCCTTCTTCTCCACTTCATTTTTCTTTTTCTTTTTCTTCTTTTTTTGAGATGGAGTCTCACTCTGTCTCGCAGGCCAAAGTGCAGTGGTGTCATCTCAGCTCACTGCAACCTCTGCCTCCTGGGTTCAAGCAGTTCTTTGCCTCAGCCTCCCAAGTATCTGGGATTACAGTGGCCCACCACCAAGTCTGGTTAATTTTTTTTTTTTTTTTTGTATTTTTAGTAGAGATGGGGTTTCGCCATCTTGGCCAGGCTCATCTTGAACTCCTGACCTCATGATCCACCCGCCTTGGCCTCCCAAAGTGCTAGGATTACAGGCGTGAGCCACCGCACCCGGCCTGCACTTCATTCTTCTACATAGCATTTATCCCCAACCCTCAAATTACAGATCTTCCTTACTCACTTATTTACTGTCCGTTGCTCACTAGAACGTAAGATCCGCTAATGCAGCATTACATTATTGTGGCTACTGCTATTTTCCCAGCTGCTGGCATAGTGCCTAACCTATAGCAGGCATTCAGTGAGTGATCGTCAAACAGATGAGGCACATGGTCTCATCAGGGGGCCAGAGATGCACGCTGACAGTTACTGCAGGGAGTCTAATGTGACGGGAAGGAAGCCCAGGCTGGGGCCCAGGAAGAGGTCTCAGAGCTTAGAGGATGAGGTGAAGAAAGGGGCTGGGGACATTCCAGGCAGTGGGGCCAGACAAAGGGATTTAAAAAAAAACAAAAAAAAAAGGAGGAAAAAAGAAACAGCCAGGTTAACAGGGCATCTGCCATTAAACATTAATTGAGCACCAACTGTGTGCAATACCTTGAAGGGGCAACGTGTGCAAAAACAGATGAGGCCCTGCTTTAGGGGAAGCCATGAGCAATTAAACATAACAAAGCAAAAAACGATCTCTTTGGATCGTGGCGGGGGCTGAATCACGGAATAGTGTGATCCTGCCAGTGTGGCCCCACTCTCCCTTCCTTCCAAGCCAATGTACAGTCTGCTGCAAGGGAGTGACCAGAGCCAGCAGAGACCTAGAAGGACAAACTTCACCTCAGCAAAGAAGCTGGGGGAGCTGTCTGAGTGGCCGCAACAGTGACTGGCAGGCAGGAGACAGCCTGTAAGTGCCATAGGCTTTTTTGTTTTGTTTTTGTTTTGGAGACGAAGTCTCACTCTTTGGAGTGCAGTGGCACAATTTCAGCTCACTGCAACCTCCACCTCCCAGGTTCAAGCAATCCTTATGCCTCAGCCTCCTAAGTAGCTGGGACTACAGACCTGTGCCACCATGCCCGGCTAATTTTTTTGTATTTTTAGTACAGACAGGGTTTCACCATGTGGGCCAGGCTGCTCTTGAACTCCTGGCCTCAAGTGATCCACCCACCTTGGCCTCCCAAAGTGCTAGGATTACAGACATGGGCCACCGCGCCAGGCCATGTAAGTGCTCTGTTTCATCCTAAAAATGAATGTGGGGTTTCTCATTCTAGTTTACAAGAGCAGACTTTTGTTGTTGTGATCAGGTCTTCTTAACCACAAATAGTGTGCTTAAGTATTTTCAAATATCCTTCTTATGCCCATTGTTGCAAAAATGCAACATGTCTGATTGAGCATTGTTGGTTCTTGTTCTGTCTGTCCTAATGAGCACGCTTTCATATGTCAAGTGGTCTTCTGAGGCATAAGGAAAATCTGACTTGTGCGCTCTCTAGAACCATCCTGAAGATAGAGGGCTCATGTAGGCTTTTCAGAATTTTAATTTCACCCAAAATTTATGGTTTAAAAGTATTTCTTTTATCTGATTATACGCAGCCATTATAAAGCCTCATACACTCCCAGCAATGTCGCCATCCCTGCCAGCCACATGCAAAGTGACTAGCAAAGAGAAAGCCAGGACCCACTCGTCTACGTTAGCTCAGAGTTTTGGCTGGAAGGGTGTTCCAAAACTGTTTGCTTGAGAAAACTAGCCCCTCCTCAGACTGAGTCATCTCCTTCAAAATAGCACTTGTCTTCCATTCTAAATGTCACCAGCACGGGGGATCCCAACTCTATTTTACCACTTTCAGAAGCGTTTACGTGCAGAATTAATGGAGACACACTGGTTGCTTTATCATGGGGACAATCATGGTAATGCCTAGAAATGATGCACGTGCAGATTGGGCATGGTGCTCGGCACATGATGGGCATCCAAAAGTCAACAGGTCTTCTTAACCACAAATACCGTGCTTAACATTTTTCAAATATCCTTCTTATGGCCAT